TACTACACACACACACACACACACACACACACACACACACACACACTCTCTCTCTCTCTCTCTCTCTCTCTCTCTCTCTCTCTTTCCTCTTGTCTCCTTTTAAAAAACACTCAAGATTATATAAATCTTTAACCTTCGGGTTAATAAAATTGAATCTGTCACTGAAAACTTCACTTTTCGTATATAAATTCTATTTATACAATTTCTTGCTATGTACCAATAAATGTACCATTTTGACTTGTAAATATTTTGTTATTTTAATATTATTTAATTTTATATTAGTTTGTTATTAATTGTAATTAAATTTTAAAAGTTACCCCGCGCGAATCAGTAATACGTTGATATCCTTTGTTTTAATTTGCCTGTTGCAATTTTGATATAATATGATAGTATTACATAAAACTTAAAAAAAAAAATTTTTTTTAAAATAATTATTTTATTTTCAATAAATTTTTATAGTTGTGCTATTATGTTGTTTATAGGCTGCACTAGTACTACTACTGCAGGCCACTCTTGTGGCAAGCAAGGCTTTAGATCAAACGCAGTTGCAGCAGCATTTACAACGGCAAAGTCCGTACGTATAATAACTTATTTTAATAACAAAACAATAATTTATTGTTTACTTTTCGAGCATTATACATATATATTGTGCTTAATATATAATAGCAATGTATATAATACATATATAAAAAAATAGAAAAAAAAATTCCCTTTATCGTATAAAGATTCAATCTGTGAATGGATTATACAACAATTAAATTAAAAAAAATATATAAATTAAAAAAAATATTCTTTAATCTAATTATATGTTTTAAAAATACAAAATACAAAATACAAAATAAAAAATAACATTGAGAAAATTAATCCAATTTTTAAATTAAATGAATAAAAATAATAGAGCAGCATACTGTAAATACGAGACATTTTAAATCAGTTTGTTAGTTGGTAATTTCAAGGAAGCTCTTTTTCGTATGCTATAAAAAAAGATTGCAATAACTACATTAATACTAGAATAATAATTGCAATTTGTTCAATTAATATTGTTTCTTTGTGTCGCAGTACTGAAGCACAAAAACGATGGGATGGCGATTCCGGTGGTGGTTATGGTGATCATGGGGGTGGCGATGTCAGTAACTACTTTGGTGGCACCGGCGCCGGCAATCACTTTGGTGATAGCGACATTGGAGGTCATCCAAGTGGCGGTGATACCGGCGATCACTTGAGTGGTAGCGGCGATATCGGTGGGCATCATGATCATCATCACGACGAAGGATATTGGAAGAAAAAACTAGTCTGGAAGCCGGGTTGGAAGAAGATTTGGAAGCCGGCGCAAAAGCAGATCTGGAAGCCTGCGTGGAAGAAAATCTGGAAACCTATTTGGGTTCCGACGCAAAAGGCGGTGTGGAAGGAAATTCAAGTACCTGTCTGGAAGAAAATTTGGAAGCCCGTGTGGAAGGAGATTCAAGTACCGGCGTGGAAGGAAATACAAGTACCGGCCTGGAAGAAAATTTGGAAACCGATCTGGCAACCGATCAAAGTGCCTGCTTGGAAAGAAATTCAAGTGCCCGCATGGAAAAAAATCTGGAAACCTGTTTGGAAAGAGATTCAGGTAGCAGCGTGGAAAGAAATTCAAGTGCCCGCTTGGAAACAACTCTGGATTCCCGAATGGGTAAAGATCGGCGTACCGGGTGAACATTATCACGGTACGGATCATCACGGATGGCAGTACACCAGCCACGATCTTTGGAAAAAGAAATTAATCTGGAAGCCAGTGTGGAAGAAGTATTGGAAGTCGGCGAAAAAGCAGATTTGGATACCAGACAAGAAACTCGAGTGGAAGGAGGCTTGGAAACAGATTTGGAAGCCAGCGAAAAAGCAAATCTGGGTAGAGGACAAAAAGTTGGCTTGGAAGGAAGAGTGGAAACAGATTTGGAAACCAGCTAAAAAACTTATTTGGGTGGCTGATAAGAAACTTGAATGGAAAGAAGCTTGGAAGCAAATTTGGAAAACCGATAAAAAGCTCGAATGGATTCCCGACAAAAAGCTCGCTTGGAAGGAGGCATGGAAGCAGATCTGGGTGCCCGCTTGGAAAGAAATCTGGGTACCGGCATGGAAGAAAATTTGGAAACCAGTCTGGATATCCGAGTGGTTCCCCAACGAGGATCACCATCATCATCACGGCTGGGACCGCAAAGATTCGCAGATTCAGAGTACGCAAGTTGTGCCCTACAGTCCGCAAATTGTCGCGCAGAACAAGCAAACACAGCAACAACAGGCGCAACAACATCAGACGAAAGATAATCAGGTCAGATGGGACAGATCTTTTCAGGCAAATCCGCCGACAATCACGCAGGACTTGGTTCCACCGCCGGCTAATCAAAACAAAGCCAGTTTTGCATTTTCCGATCACTGATAGAGTGGCCGATCTATGTGCAAAATAATCCCGTATTTTAATCCCTAAAACAATGCTTGTACAAACATATCCACGAGATAGTATTGTAATATAAGCCGTTGTGTATATATTATGTTTTAAGATTAAGATAAGTCGCATGGAAAGCTTAAGTTACCCGAAGTTATACGACTGAAATCGATCTTTATTTTTTCCATACTCTTTGTTTTTTTTTTATATACGTGTTGTTGTCTCTACAGTTGTTAATTGATTCTGTTACGAATAAAGTTTATGAGTATTTTGTTAATTTTTTTCCGCCATTCTTATTTCACCTTAGGTCCTCGTATATATTGTAACTTAACATCGCTCGTACGTATTTGCGAAAATTATAATAAGATTTTCTTTTTTAACTTATTACAATTTAAAAATTAAAACCAAAAAGTAAAAAGAATAACACAATTGTCTATTGTGAGCTATATACAATAGTTTCGACGTATAATAGTAAATAAAAATTTTTTATGCAATATTTGCAAAGAAAATATGTATACTTGCAGTCAAACAAAATCTAATTTTTTATCGTAATATTATAAAGCAAATGTTGGCAAACATGTTAAATTAATCGATAATTTTTAATGCATTTGATATTCGTCAATTTTTAGGCAAAAATTTAATGAATGAACTAATGATAAATAAACTTAGAATATTTCTATTGGCAAGTTTTCAAGAGGAAAAAATAAATTAAACAACACCGATCAGTAATGATAAGTTAATTGATTGTTTACAAAGTACATATTTAATCTAAAAAAATTATTATTTTTTATAATCAATCACTACTCTTTTGAACAATATTTACACTCATTGAAGAGGATGGATAAACGTTAGATTTTTTCATTTATGGCTTAGACATTTTACGGCTGAAAAATTGTTTTCTTCAAAGCGTTTTGCCTGTACAAAAATAAATGTTAACTTATCTAAATACTTACTCGTTGTTCACACCTTTTAAAATAATAAATAAAAATAAATCGCTATCACTTGAACTTGCGGTGAAGATGATGCAATGCGAATACGCGCACGTATGTCTGCGAAACTGGAGAAAGTAGAATGTGTTATGAAAGGCAGGCGACCAGCATGTAGAGGACCTCAACCGTGGAGAAAGTATCCATGCACCCACACAGCAACATAAATTAATCCATGCCACTGTGCTGTTCGTCTCGGTAGGTCGCACCATATTGCGCGATGCAGACTCCGTTCAATTGATGACAACCAGATTTCACTAACGTCGACTACGAAAGAGTGAATTTTTCTTTTCAGACACGTAGCAATCGAGCGAAAGAAAACAAAAAATCGGAGAAATCATGATATATTTGCTATTCTAATATGACAGAATTGTATAGAAAATATTTTCACTTTTGTGTTTCACGTACATATTTTTATTCAATATACATTAAAGAAGCACTAAATCAGTATTTTAGAAAAATTTTAATGGTATTAACATAAAACAACGCGGAAACAATGTATCTCTCGTTATCTTATTTGTATCTTACAAGAATTTTTTTGAAATATCTATGCTTTTGACACATTATAATTATTATTTTTTTCATACTTAATAATTGCGCAAATGTGCAATATGCAATTAAGTAAATTGCATATATTCTTACTGCAAGTATTTGTTTATGATTTATTACAACTTCTCTTCTTTCAATTTTTCTTAAACTGACTCCGATAATAAATAGCTAAAGAGACCATACATTATACATTCTTAAGAAATATTTTTTCTACGTTTCTGCGTACGAAGACAGCACATTCAAATGCAAATCGTAATTTGTGAGCGGCAACCGATTATCGTGATAATAGTCTTTTTACAGTATAATAGAAGATTTCAAGTCATTGTAAAAGTTTCATATGGTAAAAAAATAATATGTTATTCCTGTTTTCTTGATTTTCAATTTTCTCAACATTTGTCTAAAATTAGATTGTAATCAAGTTTATTATACTTTATTATATATATATTGTTTTAGAAACGAATGTATATTTTGTGAATGTAATGTGGTGCTTGAAAGTTTCAGATAATCAAACATTTCCGACAATTCGAATCTCGAGATCAAACATAAAGAATGATTTGGATTTTTTTAGATAAAAGCATACTTAAACAGTTTGAACTGTTCAAACTAACTTCAGATCCAAAAGTAATAATTAATATTTTTCTGAAATTATTAACATTTTGTAATATATTTATTTAATGTGTGATACTTTCTCAATATATCTCTATAATCTGAATATATTAACAGATTCGCACAGTTTTACTTAATTTTTAACAGAGAAAATTATTCTTTCTTCTGAATTTTTTTAATAGCAATTGACAAATATTGAATATATTTTAGTTCAAATCAAATGGATCAAATTTCAATAATTAGATTTTAGGCGAAACATGTATTGCGATAAAAAATCAGATAAAAAGTCAGACATAATAAGATTTTTTTTCGAGGTCATAGATCATGCTGCGCTGATAATATCATGGGCAAACATTAGGTCCGTTTCTGTTGTATATTACATGCATATATGCCATGTATATAAACATAGGTTCATAGGTACATAAGTCTATATAAGTATCGTGGTAGAAGTAACGAAGTGAAGCATTCTCAGTGCGTCTAAAGATGCTGTATATCGCGATCTCTCTTCTTTCTATATTTGGTTGCCTCTACTGCATTTATGACTGTTTGAAACCAAAAAATTATCCACCCGGTAAGTGCAAAACTCTCTCTCAGCACAATGATACAGTGTTCTTAAACGTTTAATCTGTGCTGTTACATTAAAAGTAATTAATACTAATTACATGTATTTACAAAACCAGTATATATATTTTTTAATTAAAAAAATTATACAACAAATTCAAAGTATTTTTACAAACATATTGCAAGATAACATCAACAATAAGATAGAATTATTAGATAGGCGAAAAATATACTTTCAAACATACAAAATGTTCGAGTCTAACAGTAAGTAGAAATATTGATCACATAGGCCCATTATGGCTACCGTTATTGGGATGTTTTCTGACGTTCCGATGGTTACGTTCAAAATACGGGTATATTTACCTGGCTTTTCAAGAATTGTCACGTACGTATGGACCGATATTAGGATTGAAGCTTGGAAATCAAAAAGTGGTAGTGATTTCAACATATGATCTGGTGAAGAAAGCTCTTCTGCAAGATGAATTTAATAGCCGACCAGACGGATTTTTCTTCAGAATACGCTCGTTTGGAAAAAGAAAGGGTATGTACAGATGATTTTAATAATTAAAAATGTATGGGTTTTATATATTAAAACATTGGTAAAACTGTCTAAATTGCTATAAGTCGTTTTTATTATTTATTCTAAATATTTGCTCAAAACCTAAACAAAATTTTTGAATTATTTTGAAAGTTATTTAGTTTTTATGTTTATATCAATTTTTATCGAAAATTGTGTATTGCAGTACTTGCTAACTAAATTTAACAAAGAAGAATTATTGTCAGTCATTTCAAATTTTTTATGTGCATTAACAAAATTCTAACGTACAGATATTTGTGCAAAATTTTATTCTACTTTATTTTCTCAGTTTAAAGATTTATTTACTTAAAGTTACAACTAAAACATGATCACACACATGTTGCACTATGCAACTCAATGTGTATTTGGTAATCGTTCGTTGTTTTGTTTCTCTCAATTAATTTCAGAGAGTACTTACGTACTTGCAAACATTTCTTTAGAAATTTCTTTAATATTGAATCAATATCTATTTAATCTATTTAATATTGAATCAATCAATATAGACCTAACACGATTTAACATGACACAAAAACACAATTTCCACATCCCTTTCATTTAACTCTGTTATTAACAGGTGTTTTGTTCACTGAGGGAACCACTTGGTCACAATGTCGCAAATTTACCATGCGACATTTACGGATGTATGGCATAGGTCAGTCAATTATGGAAAAACAATTGACCATTGAGGCTCGTAATCTCGTTAATTATTTGCAACGAATGAGTGAACGTGGTGCGGTGCTAATGCATACAGCATTCGATGTCGCGGTGCTTAATTCTCTATGGTTTATGATTGCCGGACACAGATTTGACTATGAGAATGAGAAACTGAACCAAGCACTCAAAGTCGTACACGATGCTTTCAGGTAACTGCTTAAATAAAAATTAATTACACTATTAAACGTTCTTTTATATTGCGAAAAAGAAGAGAAAGTTTTTGTAATTTTTTGTTTTTGCACTGAATTCAAATCCTTCAAAAAGTAAGCATTATATCAGAATTTTAAGAAAATAACATAAATATGCTAAAAATAAATAATAATATTAAAAAAACATATGATGTAAATTGATCATCTTCATGTGATATACTTCATACGGTTAAATAGTTTAGCTTATACATTAGTAAGTTCACGATAAATATAATCTAAAAATGTTATATAAAAAAAGCATGAATGACAAAGTGAAAGCTCTGTTAATACAAAAATTATTATATATTAAGAAATAATTTTTCTAATCAGAAATAAATTATTTTAAAGAATTTTCTCATAAAGAAAACTAAGTTTAAAAAAAGTAGTATTTAAAGAATATAAAGTAGTATTTAAATGACATAAACAACGCTGCAAATATAAAAAATAATTCTTTTGGAATAGAATTGCGTGGAATAGAATTGCATTTTTCCATTTTCTTTATTGTAATGTAATATGCACTTTTTGAAACTGGATTCGGATTTAACACATAAAGGATTAAGGAAAACTACTTTTCTTTTTCAAAACAGCAGATTTAGTGTAGAACAGTGTAAATTTGATATTGTGTACAGATTAATGGATATCTTGGGTGGGATAATGTCACAAATACCTTTGATACGTTTCGTGATCCCGGAATTATCAGGATATAACGAGCTGATGAGGATTCTCGAAAAATTATGGAGTTTCCTTGACGAAGAAATCAAAGTACATGAGAAGAAACCATTAGATGGTCAGCCGCATGATCTGATTGATGCATTTCTTTTGGAGATATCGAATAAAAAGGGAGATAAAGATACGATATTTGATCGTGAGTACAAAATTAGTAAAAAATGAATATTATTAATATCATTATAGATTCTTTTTAATTATATACTTCTGTTTTTATTTATTTTTAAAAACAATTTACAATAAACTTTTTGTACTACGCGTTTGTTTTTCTAATAAATAAATCGCATCAACAATATGTATATGCAAATGCATCGACAAACTGAAAATTGTTTATTTACAAAATATGTCTGACAAGTAATAAAATTAACTTTTTTCTTAACTTTTTGTGTAAATGTCATCTATTTAAAAATTAGTATCTTAATGCACCTCTTTGCAAAAATATAATGGAACAACAAGCCGATATCAAGTTCTGTTTTAAACTTGATAAAATCCTGATGCAATCCTTTATAATATGTTAAAACACGGAAACAATTGTCTATGCTTTACACGAACTTTTGAGTGGTTTGTAAAGTTTAGAGACAACAGAAAAGATCTAAAACACTATATATACATACGTACATACATATATTATATATTTCGTGGCAGGTGAAAATTTATTGGTTTTGTGCCTCGATCTCTTCTTGGCTGGGTCGAAGACAACCAGTGACACTCTAGCTACTACGTTTCTTTTCTTATCGCTGAATCTCGAATGGTTAAAGATACTTCAAGAGGAATTGGACAGCGTTGTTGGTAGATCAAGAGCTCCTACCGAGAATGACTTGCCATTTTTGCCAATGACGGAAGCTTTTTTAGCCGAGGTAACAGATATAAATTATAAGTATAACGCATTTTCAAAATGTTTAAAATATATAAATGTTAACGTTTTTACAGCTAATATATCTTATGTTTAAAGCCAAAATTTTGAAATCAAAAATAAAATAATTTCATTAATAATTAATTTTGTTTTAAAAAGAATTTAGGAACAGGTTATTTATTTAATTCTAACGTTAATATTGGAATAAAATCTTTAGAAAAGAAAAGAGTTATTGTAATTCATCTAACAATCTTCACAAAGTGTACAATACAATCTTTTATAAACTAAATAGATACATAGAACATACCAATATAAAGTAAGAAAATAATAACTAAAAGATTTAGAAATATAATAATATTAATTGCTAAATAAACTGTGACGTTAATATATAAACAATATATTAACCACAAACAGGTACAAAGATATTTGATTTTGGCACCACTCGGTGTACCGCATAGAACTGCAAAGGATGTCTCTCTAAATTCATATCGAATACCCAAGGTAAGTGGTTTCTTTGATTTTCTCAAAATATTGATATATATATATTATCAATTTTAAGATTAAATTAGAATTTAGCACACAATTAGTGAAACTCAACTATGGAAAACTGCTCTTTTTTCTCAGACAATAAAAAAAATTCTATTTCGTAGATGAAATTTTTTATTTATGTAATCGAATAAGTTATATTACTTACATCACATCTTACTGTGTGTGCGAGCTACAAGAGAGCTATTTTTTTTTGCAGGACACTATTGTTCTCTTTAACTTTCATAGTGTACACAACGACGAGACGTACTGGGACCATCCCAATGAATTCCGTCCAGAACGATTTCTAAACGAACATGGTCAATTTCGTCGAAACAATTTTGCTTTACCTTTCGGCTTAGGTAAATTTACAAGCATCGTATAATTGTTTTTACTCTTGTTTCTTTCATTGTACAAGTTTCACGCTTTACGCAAATATACATAAAATAATCAACTAGCTATTATTAATTCTACTACTTGTAGGGAACAAATCTAATTATTTTGTGTTTTTCAGGCAAAAGACGTTGTTTGGGAGAACAACTAGCGCGTTCTACATTGTTTTATTTCTTCACTTATATTGTACATTATTTCGACATAGAAATTTCTCCTGATCACGACAAGCCAGATTTGAACGGTTACGATGGTTTCACTTTATCTCCAAAACCATATTACCTTAAATTCACGAAGAGAGCTGATCTAAGAGACTAACAAATGATGCTGCCAAATGGATACAGTGCATACAGATACACATATATGATAACATTTTCACATCTATAAAAAATATCGATTTTGTTGAACTTATAAAATAATGAGTAAAAGTGAACATTTCATAGCGTAAAGGTAATAAACGCTCGTGTCGCTTTGTGCTATACAGAATTTGTTCTATACAAAAATAAATTTTTTTATTAAACAAGTTTAAGCTTAAGCTAAGTTTAAATATTCATAGCTCTTTCTAAACGATTGTGTTTCTCTACTCTAAGTTATAGCGCTGCTCGGGATAAATATATCAATGTATATATAAACTTACAAAATTAGTTTTTTAATTTAAAAATTATACGACTTTTATTGGCTTGAAATTTTGCGTACAATTGCTACCTTTTCATTTTTAGTTCTGTGCTTATAACCAACTTCTGATTCCTGCATTATCAACGTATAATCATAAAATAGCGTGTTACACGTTTTGTCCTTTGATCGCATGAGGTCTCTAAAATCAGTTTAGAGTTAGAGACCCTAGAAGATTGTCTAGGGTATCTCTGTTTAGAGTGCACTTGTCACCTTCAATAACGTCTTACTCAAACAAATTGAATGAAATTAAACAAAGAAGGCTTGGTTAACTGCGCAAAATTATTTGAAAAACTTATATTTACAAATAAGGAACAGGAAGATTCTTAAAGGAAACGAGAAAAAAGAAGAGTTTCAATATATAAAACGTTTCAAAAGGATAGACATATTCACATTAGAAAGAGAAAAATAACAAATAATTTTGATCAAAAGAAACGTTATCGGTATTAATAATCTTGTACAGATCCTATACAGTTTATATAACGGTTTTATGTGGCAAGTAGACAGTAGTTGATAACGCAAAGTGAACTTATTTTATCTAATCGATATAATGGCAACTGGCGATGACAGACGTGTTGCTCTAATAACAGGTATTTCAGGACAAGTAAGTTGGTTAATATATGTATTCGATTTTAAAATTAGATTTTATTCGAGTTTAAAATTAGATAAAGCACTGATTTAATTTTTTTAATATTCTATTTATTATTCTATTAAACATAGAAACATGTGTAAATATTATTCTGTTTGCTAAACATCTTATATTTTAAAGCGTAATAAAGTTTTATATTATTCTCAATTCTTTACTATACTTCTTTATTATAGGATGGTTCATATTTGGCAGAATTCTTACTGGAAAAGGGATATAATGTGCATGGTATTATTAGACGAGCTAGTTCATTTAATACTGCTCGTATTCAACATCTTTATGAAGATCCTAAATGCCATCGTCAAGGTAAAATGAAGTTACACTATGGTGACATGACTGATTCTAGTAGTTTGATCAAAGTCATTAGTGCAGTACAACCAACGGAAATTTATAATCTTGCAGCACAAAGCCATGTTATGGTCTGTATATGCATCAAATATGTATAATATCTGTAACAAACTAAAATAGTTGTGTGATATTTGTTATTTTTTACATTGTTATAGGTAAGTTTTGAAGTAAGTGAATATACTGCAGAAGTAGATGCAGTAGGAACAGTAAGATTATTAGATGCAATACGTACATGTGGCTTAGAAAAATCTGTAAAGTTTTATCATGCGTCAACATCAGAACTTTATGGCAGGGTGGTAGAAGTTCCACAAAATGAAAAAACACCATTTTATCCACGCTCTCCATATGGTAATTGACCAATATATTTATACTAAATATATATATTAAATACTTTAATATATATTAAATCTTTTCTAAATTTTAGCTTGTGCAAAGTTATACAGCTACTGGATTGTTGTAAATTATAGAGAAGCATATAATATATTTGCTTGTAATGGAATATTGTTTAATCACGAAAGTCCACGACGAGGAGAGAATTTTGTTACAAGAAAAGTGACTAGATCTATAGCAAAAATACATTTAGGTCTGCAAGATGTACTTGAATTAGGAAATTTGGATGCAAAGCGAGATTGGGGCCATGCCAAAGATTATGTAGAAGTCGGTAACAATCCTTAATAGATTAATTCAATATTTCACAAATATTTTTATATAATTTATATTACATATGATGCAGGCAATGTGGCTAATGCTTCAACAAACGCAGCCAGACGATTACGTCATAGCAACGGGAGAAACACATAGTGTAAGAGAATTTGTAGAAATAGCATTCCAATATGTAGGTCGCACGATTAAGTGGGAAGGCGAAGGCATAAATGAGACGGGACAAGATGCACAAACCGGCCAAATATTGATTCGTGTAAATCCGAAATTCTTCCGTCCAACAGAAGTGGTAAGATATCGTTATCACTTGTAACGAATATTTTGAAAATGCTTCAAAAATATGTAATAAAAAATAAGAATTTCTATTTAACATTCTTATGTTGACTTTCACGAGATTTTGTAAGGTTATTCCGAGATAAAAGAAATATTGCTGTCTTTTTTTTCTCAAAATTCTGTAATCTTCATCCAAAACATTTTTTCGTATCTTAATTTCCGAAATATTTGTCTTGTGCATAAGATGAAACATTCTTATACATATAATGTATAGATTCCAAAAAGATAAACTTTATATTTTAGTTTCTATACAATTTTTTTGCAGGATATACTTTTGGGTGATGCGTCAAAAGCAAAGAATAAATTTGGATGGAAACCGACAATTTCATTTAAGGTAATCACACTGTTGTATTAATTAAATTCTGAGTGCATCTGGACCTCTAACTCGAACTTTACTTATATATAAATCAATATAATAATTGACAATATGTATGTGTGTGTGTGTGTGTGTGTGTGTGTATACATATATATATATATATATATATTACAGGAACTTGTAAAAGATATGATGGACTCTGACCTGGAATTAATGTCTAAAAATCCAAATGCTTAGTAATATTTTTATCGTAACATTTTAATTATTATATAATAATTTTGATTATTATATAATTATTATATAACCAAATGCATTTCTAATGTACTTTGTTTTTATAAAATAACAATATTTGGAAATTTTTACTTGTTTTATGATATAAATAAATAATAGTTATTTTTAATGTTCCTGAAGCTTGTGTGAAAGTGGATAAAGTTATTATACAAACAAATGTTTATTAGCATATATTAATTAGTGTTTATTTAATAATGATGATTTCAATATTTAAACAAAACAATAAAATAAAAATAAAATTTTGTAGGTTAATTAAAATATAAGAGAATATTTACATACCATCTTATTTTTCAAAAATAATAAACTTTTTTTAAATAAACTGCTATAGGTTTATTAATCCTACATATAAAAATTTAATAATGCAATACTTCTCAAATATTTCGGCATATATCTCTGAAATTTCATATTACATTTCATATTACAGTGCAATAATTCTGAAAAGAGTTTAATACGTTACTTGGCATAATCGCTGTTTGCTGCGCGCAAGACATGACCGTGTTTCTTAATAATCTTGATTTTTTACTTTTTACTTTTATATTATTTGCGAACGAGTCCAGCATTATGCAGCATGCTGTAGATTTTCTCTCTCGGAATTTTGTCTGTTTCTCGATCGATTACCTATGCAACAACATATGGACATTATAGAAAATTACACAAACTTAATTTGTCATTTACTTTCGGCGTATTTAACATTATTAAATCTTTCATTATTAAAGACATTAAATGTACCTGCATTTCTTTATCGACGAACCAGGATTCTTTAGCAAGATTAGCGGCAATATCTGGATGTTTATAAAAATTATTTCGTAATTGGTTAGGTAAATTATCTTCCATTTCGGAATTAGTTAACACAGCTGGATGGCCAAACATTGTTTCAGTAGGAACAAGATAAATTGGGACAGCTGCGCAAGTTATCACAAGACTGAGGAGGATGATAATATTCATATTGTCAAGTGGTACTTGATATTTTGATGCTTTTCTGTAAAATCGAGAAATTCTTGTTTAAAGTGAAAAATGTAGAACATCATGTAATAGTTATTATTATTATTAACTATAAGAAATCATTATTGGATTACATTTAAGTATAACTGCCTTTTTCTTAATATATGAATATTTTTACACAGTAAAAGGTAATGTAATATTTTTATCATAATTTAAAATAAATAAAACTATTAAGACATTTAAAAAATGGCTATACATATTTTTTATGATGTATTTAATTTTTACATATTTTTGAAAAAAAAAACATTTAAAAATGTTATGTTACACAAATGTTACTCAAATAAAATTTATTGATTTAATAATCATTATGACTTAACCATATAATATTGGTACTTTTCGCTTACATTTACAATTGCGTCTCACTTTCTGTTTAAATGTATTATGATCATGGAAGTCATCAGATTGCGTTAAATTCACACTCACCTCTTAAGCACTTGAAAAAATTGCAATATTTTATAACAAAATGGTGTTCACCTGGAGCTTGTCTAACTGACAATGACTGTAAGATTCGTGACGGCAAGGCTTATATATACGATCGGTGTCTCGGCACAAGTTAAAATTATATCAGACATCCCTTGGTCATTCAATAGCCCAGAGGCTTGTGTTGATTCTTTCCTTTGTATTTACCTTCAGACAAGGTCACTAAACGCTTGTTAATCCAAGTCAAGGGTAACAATTTTTTCGACTTTGACTTGATTTTAAGGTTGTATTTATCAACAGTTTGTTAAATATACAATATTAGTTTGTTTATTAGTTTATTAGTTTGTTGAAATTTATAAACAATCTATTTCTTATTTTATATTAAAACATCTAGTAAATTAATTTTCATAAAATTTTTTATAAAGTCGACAAAATGTATTTTTGTATTAATTAAATTTTTTTGTTGAAAATAGAATAAACTTATTAATTAGAATTTTTTATATGATTTTACACTTTTTGTAACGTTGATTACGATTACGAATGCAGTAGTTATATATCTAATGCAACAGTTACATCACTTTTGCATTTGTAATATTAAATTTTACATGTTTGTAATTCAATTATAGAGTACATGATTTCAGCAAAACGACTTTTCAATCAGAATAAATTCCGTGATCGAAATAGTGAGAGAGAGAGAGAGAGAGAGAGAGAGAGAGAGAGAGAGAGAGAGAGAGAGAGAAAGAGAGAATGGAACCGTTCATATTATTGAGGTCAATGTTATGACCTTACAAGTAACAAGCGATAAAGCGATTACCCTTGTCAAGCTTGAAGTAGAAAAGTTTTAGGAAATCGTTAAGATTTATCAACAAGCTATAATTAATCTTAGTCTAATAGATTCTAATGTTTTGAATTGTCTAGAGCGTCTAGTCATTGCATTATATTATGCATTATACATGACAATTTCGAACTTTCTTTAATTTAATAGAACAAAGAGGAAGGAAAAAATTTACATTACATAGAAACTATTTTAAAAATATGTAAAAATGATTTAAAAAATGTTTTATGTGTATATAGAGGTTTCTTTGAAGAACCACCTGTGAAATAATAAAAGAGGAAAGAAATATTACAATATATGAAATTATATTCATGAAATAGGATTTTAAACTGTTTTTATTAACGTTAAAATACTAGTATTTACAGAAAAAGAGTATAAATTAATGATCATTCGACTCAGCACCGTCACACTTACCATCTACCTACATATAATATGTGGATTTATTGCAAAATCCTTCCGATTGTGAATTACATTCTATTTGTCGTCGTATATAAAATATATAAATTATATACTTATATTTTCTGTTTTATATGCTACAAGATTCCTTTAAAATCTATTAATAACATGCGTAATTTTATAATTTTAGAATTTAATTTTACGTCCCAGAATCAATTATTATCAGAATTAGATAATTTCCGCTTTTTTTCAACGTGATGCGAATTACTTATAATTTAATGTAATTTATGCACGATATATTTTATAAATCTGCACAATACCATCTGGTAAGCATTCATGATTAAAATTACATTGAGTAAAACTCGAACATTCTCTTTTATTAAGTTCACAAACTCGTACCAAAGGATAAGGCTTAGGAAAAATTATTAGTCACAAAGTCGCAAAAGAAAAGTGAAAAGCTGCAATCAATATTATAAATTATATTTGTCTAATTAGGAACACGCTAAATAAAACTATCAAACAAATATAAAGAAAAGAAAAAGAATCTACGAAAATTTGTCAATTTTGGTTGTTTGACGAAAATAGTCTAGAAAGTAAAAAAAACAAAACAAACGTAATAAACATGAAAAATATATTTATTATTTAAATTTGAGTAGAAGCACACTCTTAATACATACAGGGTGTTTCATGAAATTTTGCAATTGTCGCAGTAATAATTGAGATACTAATTAAAAAGGATTGACGAATGATAGCGCGTTGCACGTTGCGCTAGACCGTGAGTTGTACAATCTGGGTGGGATCAACGGCGTATCGCACGGCAACGAAAAACAACAGCGCATGACGAGAGGAGTAATAAGCGAGCAACGAGCGGGCAGAAATGACGCGTGAGGCTGGATCTCCGCTGTTATTTTTCGTTGCCGTGCGACACGCCGCTGACCCACCTAGCTCGTACAGCCTACGGATCGTCTAGCCGCGTGCATCGCGCAATCATTCGTCAATCCTTTTTAACTCGTTCCGTGCCAAGCCATTTTTGCGTGACCACCGATAGCCCACGCTGGTGCATTATTATTTGAGCTTAAAACATATACTTTAAGATTGTTGTATTATCAAAATAGTGTAGAACAAAAGAAATAAGTTGTAAATTGTTTTATGATAATGTATTTCTTTATATTTAAAATATTAAACGGCTAAATGGAAAGTTCAGCGTGGGTCATCGGTGGCACACAACGTAGCACGCAACGTGTTAATTAATATCTTTCAATTATTATTGCGAAAATTGCAAAACGGTAAGGGACTTTTTTGTTCAGCTTACCGTGTTCTACCTGTACACAAGCGTTTGAACAAACATTGTGAAACACTTTGTATACTTAGTCATTTTTCGATTTAATCATTATAATTGCCAAAGCATTTTTTAGCATGCATTTTTGGGAGATTATGTATTCCGATATCGTGAAACTTGGCCGTCTATGCATGTAGCCTGATTGTATGCTGGAAACGAGAAATCTTATAACTTTCTAATTAAAACTCTACAATCAATTTAGATCTTGTTTCGAGCAATTTTTATTTGTTTTTATTTTTAAAGAAATATTTAATTAAAGGATAAAAATTTTCTATATACCGGCGGCAAAATTCTCTATATCGGAATACAAAAACTTGTACATACATACACAAACCAAAAAACAAATGCCTTAACAACTACAATTAAAAAATAACTAAAGATATGTATTAAGATTGCGTTTACTCAATTCCGTAATAAATATGTAATATTTTAAATTTTTATTGCGCTTATATTTTTATTTTCTAGATAATCTTTATATGTATTAATTTTCTCCATTAATTCTCACATATAATTCACAAGTTTTGATTGAAAAAGAGAATTATGATACTTGATGCACAAAACGAATAAATGTTGAAGAAAATTGACGTTCAAGTTTTCAACTTTGTCATTACTTTTTCAATAACAAAGCTTACATGATTACTCATTACTCCTAAACCGACGGCTGTCTTGTGCCAAAACTAGGTTCCAAAGGCACCAAATAGGTGACTTTCTCACTGGTACTGGTATCGTCCTGTTTGAGGACGGATGCGTTCTTTCTGGTGGGTCTTTGTGGTTGCTTCACGACTTCCTCAAGCGTGACGTACTCGGGCCTGACAACCGGCCGTTGTTTTTTCAAGTAGTACGCGCCGGAAGTGTTCTGCGGTATATAGCTCTGCTGGGTTGGTTTTGCCGAAGGCGCTGGAGTAACACTGTAACCGGCATTAATCAGAGCGGACAGCTCTTCTTGCGTCAGGGGTTGCTGGTCCTTCGGCGAGGGAACACGTACAACCTGAGGGTCGTTTAATTGACTTTGATCGACAATCTCTTCGATGGTGACAGATCTGAGAGGTGATTTTTTCAAGATGCCTGACTGAGAAATATAGACGGAGGACTGTGTCGGTGGAACCTTCAATTTGTACGCTTGGCGAGGTCGATTAATAACAGATTGAACATAGGCTTGTTCTTGAGTGGCGGTGGACTCGCTTGACTCTGGCTTAGCGACCGTTCTAGGGGCATACGTGGAGCCAGAAGCCTGATACTTATTCACATCATCATTGGTGAAGTAACTGTTGGGCGGTGGCAGCTTGGGAGTATTAGGTAAAAGGTATTGAATGACCGGCGTGCCCTCGGGATCCACTTTTTTCGCTTCGGCCTGAGCCTTGGCGATCGCCAAGATCTCGTTATTGGCTTTGGCGCGCGATTGCTGATAGACCTTGTAGAGAGCCTCGGCCTGAGCCTGCGCTATCGCTTGAGCCTGAGCCTGGGCCCGCAGCTGATTTCTTTCGAAATTCAAAGCATCGTAATGAGCTTTTTCTTGCGCTCTTACATGAGCCTGCTGCTGAGCTTCAACGTGACGTATGGCGTCAGCGTGAGCCTTTTGTTCGGCAGCTGTCTGAAGTCTTCTGGCCTCGGCGGCTTCGGCAGCCGCCTGTGCCTTCAGCTTGGTCCTGTAGGCGGCTTCCGGATCCTTCGGCTGCGATCGACCTTCGATATGAGCTTGTCCAGCTTCACTTACGGCCTCTCCTTGTTGAATCTGTTCCAACGCACTCTGCTGTCTGTATCTCTCGTGGTCGATTCTGATCTGCTCCAGAGCGGCATCGTGATGCTTCTGATACGACGCCTGGGCGATCTTTTGGAAGGCCAAGGCTTGCGCCTCGGCGTGCGCCTGAGCCCTAGTATTTGCTTCGGTTTCAGCCTGAATCTGTGCTTGATGGGCTTGCAACTGAGCGCCGTCGTCTACGTAATCATACTGCGGCGATGGTCGGAACGGTTGATGGTCCGCCGGTTGTGCGTTTTGATATTGAATCTGAACCGGTTGCCCGATCGACTGATACGTCGCCGCTACTCGTTGCTGCGACGGATAACGAGGAGGCGGACTAGTTTCGATATGATATTGCTCGGGTAACTGAGATGCTGCCGGTGCTATCGTTGGTTTGACATACTCTTGTTGTTGCGGATAGTTAGTTTTAGGCTGCGTTGGAATTAAATTAAATTCTTGGGCTTGATTGGCGGATACCAATTGCAGCAATTCCTGATCGAAGCTGCCCACTTTCGGTTGAGTATAAGATTCGACTTGGTATACCGATGCTGCGGACGGGCTGCGTGCTGACTGTAATGCCGCAGCACGATTCTGTGCGTCAATTTGCGCCTGAGCTTGCGCCACAGCCTCAGCTTGGACTAATGCCTGTGGATGTAGCTGAGGTCTCGGTCGCGGAGGAACTACAGCGGGTTTACGGTAATTGTAATACGCTTGCTGCAGTGTCTGTTGCTGTCTAGCCGGAAGTGGCGGTCTACGCTGAAGCGCATTATTTGAGCTTGCATACGGTTGCGGTTCGGTTCCGGTAAATTGTCGTAGTACAGCTAAATATTCTGGCGATAGCTGAAACAAATTTACTGGTTAGCCTTAATTAGCGGTGCAAAGGCAAAACGGCAGAAAGTTCTGTGTTATGTTTTCTTAACATAAATTACAAATTATTTTTAAAAATGTTTACCTTTTCACCAATAAGGTGTTAAGTGCGATACACACACCTGAAGAAAGCATTGAAGAAGCCTATTTTACATTTAAATGTCTCACTATAATAAATATTTTGTTATAAGGCTGCAAAAGCCACAAATTAAATTTTTTTTAAATTTATAATTTTTATAAAACAATATAGTTACTATAGTAAATAATTTCGTCTCAACAAATTGAGTTTGATCGAAGAATCCTTTTTCCTCCGTCGAAATTAGCGAACAGAAGAAACTGAATAATAACTGAAAGTGCCTCCAGTTTCGTTAGATTTTCATGCTGAACTTGATCTTATGAGCGGACGTCGAGCGGATCACCGAAGGTTATTGCTCCGTGAATGAATAAGCACTTGCAATGCGGCACGTCGGATGAACCAACAACCGTCGTTAAAGAAAACGACGGTCACGAAAATAACTTATCCTGTTGTAAAACAGTGCTACTCAAGGCCGCGGTGAAAATATCGTACGTGATTTGATAAAATAGAGAACATACAGCCGGCTGTCTAGTGGGTGTGGTTATACCGGTCCTGTCGGGTCTTGGGGCAATTAGAAGGTGTGCAAACTCGCCGCAGTTATGCAAGCGAGCGATTGCATTCGAGCATAGCGCTGCCGAGCGACCACGAGTGAGCGCGTAGGAGGTATTTGAGGCATATGTCTCATACAATAAAACCTAAATTCATTGCGTTAATTTGATTACGTGACATCATTTATTAAATTGGAATAGCATTAAATTTTTATCAATTACTTTTATTAAGTTTTTATCAATAAGAATTTATGCAAATATATTTTGTATCTCTTAACATGCCCGATAACAAGCTGTTTTAATTTATTATTACTAAGTTCGTTAGTCACAGTAAAGAGTCTTTTCGCACATTTTACGATTTAGATGCTTGCAAAAAATACACGGTTGTTTTCCAACTCTGGTTATTGGATTCTTTTATTTTTTAAATTCTGAAGGAGTTGCAAAGAGGAAGAGAAGAAGATAACAATTTGACCACAATTATAAAGCCTCTTCGAAAGATATGTGAACCATGCCTTTATAAACTTGTTTGAATTAATCTCAAGCGGTTTTGCAGTTATAAATTTGTAAAGTCTCTATTTTAAACTATTGTAAACTTTCTACGCACAAAATGACTTTGATGATTTGAAAAATGCATATATTAAAATTATTAAAGCTCATTTTAAATATATATATAATCTATAATTTGCAACAAAAATTGAAATGGAATTATAGAGTTCAAAGAGAGAGAGAGAGAGAGAGAGAGAGAGAGAGAGAGAGAGAGAGGAGTACGTA